TAACATTTCTCGGTGCGTTTTCTGTTGCTTTTGATAGCCAAAACAATCTGTTACAACTCCGCGTTGAACAAATTTTAGAAAATTGATTCGCTTACCTGTAGCAATGCAAAGAGAAAATCGATGAAGAGAATCGATCATATCGTATACGCCCTTATGCATGCTCACTGTCGATATGAAGGCGGTAAACGGAGTAAGCCGAGGAGCCGAGTACAGTCAATCGATGAACGTCGATTTAATTTTGAGGTACATTGAGCTACTCGCGAGTTACTCGCAGCAAAAACGGAACTCAAGAGTAGGTAAAGCTGTCTCACCCCTTGCTTTGAATCAATCGATTTATTCCTGGAGGCAAGACAACTGCACTCAGAGTAAATATATTTGCCAAGGGGGGGAGGTGGCTGTCAAATACGAACAATCTTCGCCTACCTCGCATAACTGGTTCCAAACGTAAACAAGCCATAAGAAACCTACAGCGTTTGTTTACGTTTGGAACCAGTTTCATACAAGCTGATCAGTAGGCTCATTTGACAGCACGTCCCCCCCCCCAGATATTTGCAGCGAGTAAATTTGAGTTACTCATATTTACTCAAAAATGAACAAAGTAGTCTCGATTTTCTGATCAAAGAAATATCATCTGACAGCATATTTCGTTTGAAGCATCTGTTCGCACATTTGACAGATCGAATCGCTCGTTTAACAAATCGAATTGTGGACAAACGAAATGCTACTGTGGTGGTTTGACTGCACGACGGTTTTACGGGGCTTGGATGCCTTTCAGGCGCCTTCCCTCGTTGGTGAGGATTGACACGGCCTAGGACGATACAGGAGTGACTGGAGTGACCCGTTCCAAAATGGGAATGCTCATTTTCGGTTACCTGATGTACAACCTGAGCTTGAAACTTCGTTCGTGGTCAATAGAGTTGGTCCTTGACTGCTGATTGTGGTATACTAAGTAGCTGCTGATTCTAGGCCAGATTAGGTCAGCTCTGGCCAGCTTCGCCAGCGGAAGAAAACCACTTCAACTTTAGCGCTTTGCCAGCAATCGTAAATGAATCATTGAAAAAGCGTTGCCAGATGTATTGCCTCTAGCAATGAATTAAATTTTATTAAAACAAGCAATTGTGAAATTTAACTGGATGTATTTAATAGTGAATAAATATCAGAAACTGAATAAATTAAAAAAAAAAACCATTTTAGGCATTTTAGCAGTCCAATTAAAAAAATTACAGAAGATTTAATTCAACGCAAACAGAAGAGATGGTAACAGTGTCACAAACTATATTGCTTTAAGAATTGAATTTATTGAATTAATTTAGCCTAATCCGAACCTATCGAACCATCCCAAAAGTCCCTACACAGAAATTCCAAGAAAGCACGTCAACTAACTTTGCTTGACAGCATCGGTTTCAACATAATTTTCAATATAACAATCAGGTTGCTATGAGTATATAAGACATTGAGCAGCGTGAGTTACTCAGAGTTACTCAAAATTAGCTTCGGTTTTACTCATGATCGATAGCTGTCTTGCCCCCAGATTTATTATCTGAAACCAAAAATGTTGAATCATGTGAAATATAAAATTATTGTGGGGCAAACAAAAAAATCAGGACAAATCGTAAAAATTTTAAAAATAAATCAGGACGCTCCAAAACGACCTCAAAATCAGCACATGTCCTGCTAAATCCCTACCCACTGCATTTATATATTTATATACATATATGTAGAATATATGAATGATCGCAGTAGGCCGCGCTTGAAAGCTGACGTGTTTTTCTTTTGCTGCATATTTTTCGTCAGCGAGTTGATTTAAATTAGTGATATATCGTGTTATGCCTGTGTTTGCCTTGAGTGACTCGGTTGACCTTGAATTTAGCCTCCGAAATATACGACGCAGCTTCAGTTCTGTTCTTCGGTGCCGGTTTTCATTGCCTCCCGGGAGCCCGGTTCTCCGAGTTCGGATGCTACACTTTTGGCGTATAGTTTCTGCGGTTAATGATTAATTTTAAATATACGAATGGTACTGCCAACGGCGACTACGGCGATGACAACAGCGAACTTAGGATCTTACCATTTGTCTAGGATTTAACACCTTTGCCCGGCACCTCAACTGAATCTTCATGTCACTGTCTGCAAAAATATCTCATAGTAATTACCTGGGTACTGCGGACTCACTCAATATGCTTGTCAACTGGGAGACAGTATGAACTGTCAAACGGAAGCCAAACCTTCAGAAGCCACAAATATAGTTACTCTCCTTATATTTCGTCAATTATTGTCATCTCATATAAATGAACCGTACTTTTTCATAACTTATTATTGATTGTAAGCTTAAAGGCAGAAACTGATGGGCTCAGTGAAGAAAGTTTAAAAACCAGCACAGCTTTGATAAGTTAAGCTGTGAACCATTTGCTGAGTTAAATTTAACTCGTGGTTAAAAGCGACATTTCGAAAGTTATTTTCTATGTTCGAAAATCCCCGTATTGTCGATCGACCGGTTTCCGAGCCACGGTTGTCAAAAATTAACTTCTTGTCTGTCAGAAATAACCATGCTCGGATAGCAGGGTTGATCGATAACTTTCCATCTGTCAAATTTTAACCAAAAGTTAAAAAAAATCGCCAAATGGTTCAGAGCCTTAGCTGGGTTACAATTCCAATATAAGAGTCAAGGGGGCTCGAGCACTCCTCCTGGCTCAGAGTTTTTGGCGGGATTCAATTTGACGGATTTAAATTTACCGATAAAAGTGATTTCGCTGAACATTTTGAGAGTGTTATGTCTGCTTGTCTGTGATCATATCTTCACTATCCCAAGTTCGGCTAATCCGTGAAAGTGGATGCATTTTTCTCTGGCACTTTTGATCTAACTGCAATCTCATACTCGAAATGTGCCACGACCAAATTGGGTTGTTTAATTTCGAAAAAATATAACGATTTTTATACATCATCTGATAGAGCTTCGTTTTCTGAGCACAATGATATTTTTATAAATCCCGTAGACATTGATCTCGATTTTTGAATATAGATTTAAATTTTTGATCGTTGGCACTAAATCAAAGTCCTACAAGGGGCGCTAAGATGGTGATTTTTGTTAATGTAATCGTACTTATTTAAAATAGTTCCAGTGTACCAAAATTGTCGAAATTTTCGATTTCGGTTCCATTTTTAAAGCAGATAACGAATATGTATTTACTAAAGAGCCTGAATTTATAAAGAGACGACATCTTATCCATTTGACAGGTCTTCTGCCCGATTGGAATGACTTTTCCTATGACTTTGACAGACAATCGATTGTTCCAATTTTGACATGTCGCCTCTTTATAAATTTAGGCTCTTTAGTATTTACCTCAATACCCCTAAACAACCCAATTGGCGCAACAACGCTCTCTGAGCAAAGCGCACACAAGCGCTAAACAAGATCCGAGCAAAACAGTCGTACACGGTTGATAATATTGTGTGTAAGGCTGAATATTGAAATGGTTTGTTTCGAAAATATCTTCCAAATAAAAAAGCATCATCCAAATAAAACGATTTGCCTACTGACTAAATCTGGTGTCACTCGTGTCTTGCAGATGCAGATGAATGTAAACAATACAGAGTCACCGCGTTTGCTTAGAAAACAATACCGTAGCGAGTCAAATAAAGAAAACTTATAGCGAATTCGTTTATTATCGGGGTTGGAACCAGTGCGAAACCGAACTTTTTGTCAGTGCGAACCTCAACCTGAGCTAGGTTTTGAAAACAAACGAGCAAACTGACGTTTATCAGAAAACAAGCAGACCCAATCTTGATACCCGAACCAGGTTGGAACTGAATAATAAACAAATTCGCTATTAATCTTTGAAGCTCGCTTTGAATCAGGCTTTGAATCGAATTTGAAAGTGACCAAAACCGCCACCACTCATCAATGACTATGTAATAAACGCTTTCACACACCCCTCGTGAACCATTTGATCGGATCTCGACTTGTCAGCACTCAGAACTCATAACCCGCTCACTCAGCCCACTCATTCTACAAACTTCTCGCCGATCATTTCAAAAGATCCAAAATGCACCTAAATCTTTTTATTCCCTTCGATTTCCGTTTTCGATCACGACGACCATGCAAACAAATTATTTCGGACTATTTTCACCACACATTTCGATTAAAAAACGCCAAATCTAGCACCGTTGACGCACCGCAAGCGATAGAAACCCTCAATAATGAAAACCGATCAATGTTCACACAGGACCGTTTGCATTGTTGTGCCTGCTTGGCGCGTGAAAATCCAAATCACAACAAAGCAACCCCCAAACATAACGGGACTAGTAGTCTCTCTGTGTCTTCTCCGCCCCGACGGACGCCTCCAGTTTGGCACAGTGCTTTTGGTCATACCGGACGACAATCCAAATTCTTCGTTTCCGTTAGTGTTCAAAATTCACCGTTTTCTAAAAAATTCGATTATTGCTTCAAAACCTCCTCGTCCGAAATGGAAGCCGCTGTCGCCGTGGTGAGTATCGTTGGTGGTATGGTGCTCTGTCATCCCTACCGACACACCAGGGAACGATCCGCTTATCAGTCACATTTTGAAAGTGCCACAATATCTGCTCGATCCATCCGTCTCTGCCGGGTCCAGTCCACCGTCGTTATCAGTTATTATTGAATGAACAATATTATGTTGATAACAGAATCCCCGTGTCAGTAGACTGGTTGACGAAGTTCCAATAAAAGTTGTTGCCTTCCCGGTGCGATAAGATACGACCGAACCGCCCGGAGAGCGCATGATAAATTGTGGTTCTGGTTCGTTCCCTTCTTCCTGGCTGATGATACGTATTTTTTTCATCATCCATATTTTAAATTTCAAATCCGAATCCATATTCAATCGGAACAGCGGGATACGCTCGATTAGAATTTCCTATGCTCTTGGCTTGGCCGCAATCCATCACTGAATAACCCATGAATCCCCCCGTCTCAATTTGGGTAAACAAATCTAACTGGACATTTTCCTTCGCTCTTTGTCTGCTTTCAGAATCAAACAAACTCCAGGAGCACAGCGCAAATGACGATATCGGCCAGCAACAGCACAAACTCCAGCAGCAACAGCAATGCCTCCAGCTCTAGCAACAGCAGCAGTAGCAGTCCTCTGATTGGTAGCACCAACCATCACGCTACTAGCAGTCAGATTCTACTTCAGCAGAACATCAACGTTGCTGTGGCACACCAGCAACAGCAGCACCATCATCATCATCAACAACAGTCCCACCTCCACCACCAGCAACAACAGAACCACAGTCAGCACCATTCGCATTCCCACCAGCACTCCTCACACCATCAGAACCACCAACAGCAGCAGCAGCACCACAACGCACAACAGCAGCAGCAAGCCAATGCCCGGCAGCTGTTACTTCACAATGCCCTCACCCGCACGACGTCGCACCCGGTGGGAACGACGGCCACTTCGTCGGCTACCGCGGCTGCAACGATGGAATCGTTGATGGAGCTGCTGAGGATGTCCACAGCGGCCAGTGCGCTGGTGCAGTCCAACGGTAGGGCTGGCAGTGGCGGCAGTGCTGCTGCGGCGGCTGCGGCCGCTGCAGCTGCAGCGTTAGTGTCCACGTCCTCCACCGGGGGGGGCAACAGCGGAGGAGGAGGCGGTGGAGGCCACCGGAAGTTGGAACGTACGCAGTCGGAACCGCTACCGCAGCAGGTCAATACCTCGAGGTGAGTTTGATTTTTTTTTGGATTTTCGACAACATTTGGGGTCTTGATACCTTGGACTTATTACTGGACGTTCTTCAGAAAGTTCGTTCACAGACATTTCCGTAATTTGAAGGAAATATTGCTTATAACGGCGCCGGTGGTGTAGTGGTAAGCGTGATTACTTCTCACCCCAGCAGGCCTGGGTTCAATCCCAGTCGGCGCCGCCGGGATGTTCTGAGGCATAACATCTCTGATCACGCCTTCCTTCGGATGGGAAGTAAAGCCGTTGGTCCCCGGTTCATGAGTTGATGGGTCGATAGGTAGGGTCCAGGTGTGGGAGCTGCCTTCCTGGCACGTCGGTAGCATTGGTGCTCAGCACGGAAAACAAGATCGACGGAAAAAACAAACCAAAGGAAAAAAAAAAATATTGCTTATGAGTCTTATTCTTTAGAGTACGTTTGCGCTTGATTCTAGGAAGTTGTTTACTCTACTTAATTTGATTCAACAAGTTTTAAAGTGTCTAAAGAAGCCCCTAACTATGGTATCTCATTTGTATCAAGTTCACGATTTCTACAACAATTTATTAATTCAATTTCTCACTGTTTCCAATTCAGTCTAATGACCCATACAGTCCGATTGCGTTCGCCCTGCAGACCTTACAAAACGACTCACTAAATGCTGGGCCTTTGAAAACTGGGCTTGAGTATTGAACCGAGAACTTGTGTGCGACAAATTTCTACATGGTTCATTGAAAAAATATTTAATTCATGAATCCGATGTTTATTCGACTAATGTTCAAGAACTAACGTGGCATAGAAATTAAAGCTTTTTGAACCGTGGTGAACCGCACCGGTTCACGAAAGCTACATTTATCAGTCAAATAAACATCGGATTCATGACATAAACACACATTTTAGTGAACCGTCAAAGAAAATGTCCGGTGCAGTCTCGGTTCACTACCCAGGTCTTTTGAAAACATGAGGTTCAAGCTTTAAAAAGTGATACGTAAGTCGATTTTTAAAAGTGCAGATGGGACTCGATTATCGGTAATTCAAATTATTTTCGGGAAGCCTGGAATTTGAAGTCATCGGGAAAAAATCTGGATCAATAAATGAAAAGAGCCCATCAGCATTTGCAAACAAACGGTTGTAAAGCCCTTTCGCCAGAAAGCGAAGGCCGCTCACGGAAACCAACGCGGTCATCGGATTGGGGAATGTTTCCCCCTCACGATTGTGGTGTTGGTTAGCGTGGACGGCATTCGCTTTGTAAGGAAAAAGCTTTAGAACGGTTTGTTTACCAATGGACTAGATTTTCAAGTTACAGCCATTTTGAAAAACTGTTAAGAGAATTTCCAAATTTTATTTCCTGAGGAATTTTGAGGAGATGTTAGAACGAATTCTAGGAATACCACCAAGGTATTTTAGAGAAAATTTCCAAAGGAGCTTTGGGAAGAACTCTGCGAATTTTTGTCACATAAGCCGCCTAAGAGTGTGAACTCCAAGTAAATTGTGAGAGTTCAGAGTAGAATTTTTAAAGTAGCTATGTGCAATGCAAACGCAAACGGAAGCAGCCGAAACTGAATGATGACATCGCTTCGTGTTTTGATTTGCGCTGTATCGTCCGTTCAGTATAGTCGCTATATTCATAGTCTGGCGGATAGAATTTCGATCTATCAAAAAGTGGAACCAATTCAATATATTTTAGACCAACAATTGAAAAGGTACTATCAACATTTATAAACAAACGTAAATTATCCTTTCCACTTCAATCGAACGCAAATTACCGGCTTCATCGGATAAGGGAAACTTTTCACAACACAAAGATGGTATTAGTTTGCGTAGGCGAACCTTGAGTCACGAGAAAATGGTTTCCGACGTTTTGTTCGCAATAGCGGATGTGCTCTTTTCTGTTGTTAGTCGTGATTTGCTCGATTGGTTCCGCTATTTGACAGCTCAATTGGTTCCCGAGATTCTATCCGCCAGACTATGAATATAGGGACTATACCGTTCAGTGGTGTGGGCAGGCATGTAAAATCATTTGCATTCATTTCATACATTCATTTACATTCATTTGCCTCTAACTTTTTTCATCAACAGCAGTCCGCAAAATGATGCATAGAGTTTTTGTAGGCTTTGTTATTAACTACAACTTTTGCTCATAACTTAAACCTGCATCTCTTATGCATCACGAACTAGAGCGGGCAGAACTTGTTACTGTTTTTCAGTGAATGTAAAATACATTCACCGAAAAACAGTAGTGGCTTCTGTTTGCTCTGCTTCGTCATGCATAAGAGATGCGGATTTGACTTGTTTATAAAAGTTGTAGCTAATATCAAAACCTACAAAAGCTCTTAACATCATTTTGCGGAATGCTGTTGAAAAAAATAGTTAGAAGCAAATGAATGTAAATGAATGTATGAAATGAATGCAAATGATTTTCCATGCCTGGGTGTGGGTTCCTACATGGATAGATTTTGGTGTGCGTGTTTTATTTCAACGCAGTAGTTTAACGTTGGCTCGTCACAAACCTTTTGGTGCTGTCGTCTGGCTTCATAAATTCCAAAGAGTTAAGGGGGTCTGATGAAATCCATGTGAGTTTCAGTATTCCTGTGATCACATATCTGCAAATCCCACCACAAAATCACATGAATATTATGAGGCCGAAGAAATTCATATGAAAAATCTTATAAAATACATGTGATCGTATAAATATTATGTGAAATTCAGACGAATTCCATTAATTTTGATTATGGATGAAAATCATTTGCGTTGCCAATGCACAGTGGGTCAGAAATTAAATCTAGCAGGGGAAAAAATAATAACGTTCTGGTATTGCGTCTTCAGTGAAGTGTTTCGTATTGATTAAGACTTCAATTTGGTGGATAAAAATAGTTCAATTTTTGCCCGCAAAGATGGTGCACCGATACGAATATTATTTTTAGAGTACTAAAAAATGTAAAACGACTGTTCATTTTATAAGATGAACGCCTTTATTTTAATATGCGAAGCTAACTTTTTACCTAGTTTTGTCTTATCCTGAATTAGCGTGTAGTTCAGTAAACAAACCCTTGGGTGTGAAAGTTGAATTCAACGCCTGTTCTAAAATCTGAAAAATGTCGCATAGTATTGGGAAAAATAGCGAGTATTGGGAAATGTTCGAAGTCAAAATCATCAGATCATCATCCCCTGCTTGTTTCAGATGACGTTTAAACAGCTGATTATCACGCTGAATCATTGTTTACATTTCGACCGGAACAGATCGTGCACAAATGGTGTACTATCCCCAACATTTCTCTGAGCCAATTAGCGAAATTGGAAAGTGTAAGCATCGGAGCCGTTCGAAACGCGATTATGGTGATGAAGCAACTTACAGGACAAGCAAAACTCTGGACGTAAACCGAACCCTGTTGACCGAAATCTGGACCGGAAAATCGTGCAAGCTTTCACTCGCCAGAAAAGTGCTTCGGTTCGAGACGAGTCGAAGAGTAACGTCCAGCGGGCCAATGCAAGAATAGGTCTAAAGACGTATAAGAAGCAGAGGAAGCCAAAGCGGAGTGGAAAACAAGCCGCATCCGTCAAACCGAGGACTCGGCAGTTATACGACCAATTGCTGTGCGGAAAATCGGTGTGCGTAATTTTGGATGATGAATCATACGTTAAATTTGATTACAAAACTCTTCCTGGTGATCAGTACTACACCGTTCGAAGTGTTGACGACGCGGATAAGTCGATTTTTTACCGAAGAATTCGGTAAAAAGGTTTTGGTTTGACAAGCCATTTGTGAGTGTGGTATGCTTTTCAAACCGTTTGGGACAACGGAGACAATGACAACCGATGTTTACGTGCGTGAGTGTTAAGCGTCTGTTACCCATGATCCGCAAACATGACGCCTCAGTACTATTTTGGCCGGATTTGGCGTCTGTTCATTATCCAAGGACACGGTTGCCTGGTATAAAGCCAACAAGGTCCAATTCGTACCCAAGGAGATGAATCCGCCAAACTGTCACTAGGCCAGGCCAATCGAAACTTTTTGGGCCCTGACCAAAGCATATTTGCGGAAACATGTAAAGGCAGCGGATTCCGTTACAAAATTCGAATTTGCTGTATACAGAGTTACGTTATTGTTTTTTTTTAATCGTGCTCATACATTCTGGGACACCCTATATTATGGATTTGCCAAAAACTAGACGTACACTGAAAAAAGTTTTCATTTAGTTTCCATTGGGATCGCACGTGATATTTTTCCAATAACAAAATTAATGATTTTTACCTGAAATTCACATAACATACATATGATCACATAAATTCTATGCCATAAATCACATAAACTTCATTGGACACATAAGGTTCATGTGTTCTCGTGGTGCGATTCCCAATTATGAGATCACATGAAAGTTATGTGAAATTCTAATGGATATTTTCCTTCGGAAATGTGATTTGTTTTTTGAGTGTAGATAAGGACCATCGGATCCAGATTTGGAAAGAAGAGGTGTACAGTTCCTTACATCACGACATTCCTAGTCCGTACTGGAAATTGCGCATAATCTAGGGGTCAGCGTTGGAACGGTTAAGAATATGATTAAGAGAAACTACATTCGAACCTACCGGAAGCAGAAAGCGCCGAAGAGAACAGAATATCAACAAATTCGTGCCAAGAAACGCTCCCCAAAGTTGTATAATCTGCTGCTTGAGAAGAAATTCGGTTGTGTGCTTATGGAAGATGAAATATACCTATGTTAAATTGGACACAAGAGAGCTTCCAGGACCGCAGTTTTATAATGCTGTTATTGGTAAGAAGGATCCTAACAACATCCGTACAGTTCAAATTGAGAAGTTTGGGGAAAAAGTTCTTGTTTGGCATGCAGTTTGTACGTGTGGTCGTAAAAGCCAGCCGTTTTTTTTTTTACTCGAGGAACAATATCAGGAGTAGTGTACAGAGAAGAAGGCATTAAGAAGCGCCTGGCTCGGCTCTATCGTCAATACGGCACTCCGCCCTTGTTATGACCTGATTTGGCGTCCACTTGTTATGGCCTGACGGCGCGTCCACAACCTTGAGAAACTGTACCAGAACATCGTTTTCGTCAAAAAAGCGGGCGATCCACCAAATTGGGCAATTATGAAGCGTTACTTGAAGAAGAAGGGCAAACAAGCTACAGACGTGGAATCTTTCAAAAAAAAAAATGTGGACGAAAACTAGCCAGTAGGTAACGCAAGAGAATGTGCAGAAGCTGATTAGAGGTGTTCTAAGTAAGGTTCACCGCTTCCACAAGGGGTACGTGAAATGCTGATGTTTATTACTCTATACGGTTCTTTTGTCCCTGATGAACATGCTAAAATTTAATTTTTGTGAATTCTTTGGGGCTTAATAATGTTATTATCAAAAGCAGGTGTCCACCTTTTAAAATGAACAGTTCTTAATACATGATTTTATGAATTAATTTTCTAAAAAATGCGAAAATGAAAGCAAAAAATCTCAGAGGTATATTGCGATATATTTGAGATAGGGTAAATGACGGCTTCGGCAATACCTTATTCTCATATCGTCATGGGTGTAAAGAACGTCCTTGAAAGCTCAATTTTGACATGTGGATACATTGTGTTTCAAAGCATCTATTGGCCAAATTTGAGTGCTCTAGGACTTTGTTTGCCCCCTGATGATAATAGGTTAAGGTATTGTCGAAGTTGACATTTCCCCTATTTGGATTTGAATCAAACAAAAGATATAAACAAATGCAGCTCGTATTACTCTATTACGTACATTAAAGCGGGTTAAGTTACCAATGAGAGTACCAATGCTACCGACGCCAGGGAGGCAGCTCCCATACCAGGACTCTACCTATCGACCCATAAACTCATGGACCGGGGACCAACGGCTTTACTACCTTTCCGAAGAAAATCCCGGTGGCGCCGACTGGGATTGAATCCAGGCCCTTTGGGGTGAGAGGCTGTATTGAAGTCCTTAACAACTGTGCCTGACTGATTTGGTTATGATTTGCATTTGTGGGAGATGTTTAAAATTTGTATAGGAAAGTATGTGGAAAACGGATCTAAACTATTCATATGCTATAAAATATAAAATTTAAAAAATGTTACAATTTGGATCAAGCCGAAGATTAGGATTGGAAAAACTATGCAGAATAACTTGTGTCAAAGATCGCAACTTGATTAGACATTTGCGTAACATTTTATTAACTTTTAACTTCAGGCCAAGTGTGCTGCGCATACACATAAGCTAATACACAGGCCTGTAGGTATGCGTGGTGCAGTAGGCCAAAAGTTAATGGTTGATAACTTTTTGTACAAAAGTCGAATCAATTTGCAACGTTGTTCTCAATAGTTTTCTCAATCAAAATCTCAAGTTTGAACAAAATTGAGCGAATTTTGAAAATCAACATCAGCATTGTTCTACCAGTTTTTCTGTATGTAGGGGAAATGGATGTAATGCCGGCCTAAATGCCCCTAATTTGGGCTCATAAATAAATTCAGCAATCGACTAAATTTTCAATAGCGACCAAAAATATCCATTAGTACCGTCCCAATGACGTGTGCATCTAGATAAAATTGATAAATAGCAGATTTTTAGCGATGGGCCCAATCTTGGATCCTTAGGCCAACATTAGAGCCATTTCCCCTATTTGATTTAATAAAATACAGGGTGTTCAATAAGTTCGAATACAACTTTTCATCGTTGTGTAGGTGCGTGCCATGTGCAGTCTGTGTATTGGTATTGGTGTCATCTTTAGTTCGTATGTATCGCACATCATCAAGCACATCTGTCCTCTGTCCAGCGTTGAAAAAGTACGGCACGGGAAGTCTACTGGTATCCAATTTGACATACGTCTCGTCTTCCATCAAAATACACCGATTCGGCTTTTGAAGGAGAACGTCATACAAGTTCCGTGACCGTATTTTCGAAGAAGCTACCTGTGAATCCGTCCTTTTGGGTGCTTTTGGCTTCTTGTAGGCTGTGATCTTGTTCCTTTTCTTGATATTCTGCACAGTTCCGACGCTAATGTCAAATTTTTTGGCAATTTCACGAACGGAACACGGTTTATGCAATTTCAAAAGGCGTACTGCTGCCAGCTCCTTTTTCTGCTCCGATGTTCCCTTTTTGCGCCCAGATTTCGGTAAATCTTCAAGAGAACATGTTTCTCCAAACTTCTTAACAATCTTGAACACTGTAGATTTACTGCACTTCACGCTTTTTGCCAATTCTCGAAACGACAACTTTTCGGACAACCATTTGTGCAGAATTAAACTGCGAGTTGATAAGCTAATCCGACCCATCGTTCGAAATTTCTCACTTTTTTTATATTTTTCAGGTGTGTTGCCAAAATAAACAATGTTTTTACACACTGAGCGAAATTCACAATTTTTCGTTACGTTTTAACCCTAAACCATTGATAAACAGGTGTCCATTTTCCTTAATGAACAGTCGTTAAGACCGAGGTTCTGGAGAAGATTGTGGCCCAGGAACTTCGGGAGCTCTACGGAAAGGATCATTACGTCTTTCAACAGGACGGCACACCGGCCCACACGGCGAATATCGTCCAAGCGTGGTGTCGGGAGAATTTGACTGATTTACTCGATAAGACTTTGTGGCCTCCCAGCTCCCCGGAACTTAATCCCCTCGATTTTTATGTATGGTCGTACATGCTGGACAAGCAGAGCGAACATCAAGTGAGCACTATGGACCAATTTAAGGTGCTCTTTTCCAAGATCTGGGACGAGATGCCGATGGACCAGGTGCGTGCCGCGCGCGATTCTTTTTAGAAACGTCTCAAGCTCGTCATACAGCACAAAGGGGGGTGCTCCCATATAATATGTCGTAAAGGTTCTTAATAAACATTGCTTTAATGAAAATTGACTCAGAAAAGAATATCTTGTATTTTCATTTTTTAACACATTTTTAAAGTGTATTCTAACTTATTGAACACATATTGTTTGAGTCAAATACGAATATCTCAAATATATCTAATATACATCTAAGATAATTTGAGGAATGTAAAGTAAATTTTAAGTATTCTAAAAATAATAGCATTGATGTGGAAAAGATTCGATTGATCAGTACAAATCGAACGTGAATTACAGGTAAATTTTATAAAACTTCGTATATCTCAGTCGTTTGAAGATGTACAGCTTTTCATAAAATTCTACGTTCGACAAATTTGTCGAAAACAGTAAACTGCACTGGACACTTCAACTCAATTAGATGCAATCCCAGAGCGTTATTATTTTTTCCCCCGCTAGATTTAATGCCTGGCCCACTGTGCAATGGAAGCTAGATGAAAACTATTTTTGAAGTTTGAATCTCTTATGATCGGGTTACAGCATAAATCTTAAATCACAATTCCGAAAAACGAAGTTCACCTTAAGGTAATTCCTTGAAGAGTCATAAAATGGCCGTCATGATGGCTGATATGTCCTATCACTTCAAGTTTTCTCGAGCACAAATCTCGCACACTGTTGTGACATTGCTGATAAAACTGAAACTCCGTGTTGCAAACGTGGACCTCCAACTGATGTTTCGTTCTCTTGAAGTTTCGAGGTGATAATGAGATACCTAATTCAGAAAGATCATACTCAGATACCCAACCATCCCATTGCACTGACAACTGTTTCCGATCATAACGCAAACCCCTTTCTTTCCGATTCCTCCGCAGATACAAAACCGAACTGTGCCGACCGTTCGAGGAAGCGGGTGAGTGCAAGTACGGCGACAAGTGCCAGTTCGCCCACGGCATGCAGGAACTGCGCAATCTTCAGCGTCATCCAAAGTACAAGACCGAGCTGTGCCGTACGTTCCACAGCGTCGGGTTCTGTCCATATGGACCCCGGTGCCACTTTGTCCACAATGCCGAAGAGGCACGGAACCACAACCGCTCGGTGGCCGCCTACCACGCCCAGCTAGCTGCGGCTGCCGCAGCTGCAGCAAACTCCAACGGCCAAAGTCAGCAATCTTCCAATGCGGCAGCTGCGGCCGCGGCTGCTGCCGTCCTGCAGCAAGCTCAACTCCAACAGACTGCTGTACTGCTTCAGCAACACCAGCAGCAACAGCAACATCAGCACCAACAGCAGCAGCAGCAGCAACAGCAACATCAACTCCCACTCAGCCCGGCACTGTCGATGTCCACCGGTTCGGATCGTGCTTCCCCGATTGGATCGCTCTCGTTGTCGCCTACGACTTCGATGGCCAGCTTCTTCCCCGAACAGGGCAGCCCGACGGCCATCGGCCAAGGAGGTCCAACCGGGCAGAGTGCCTTCAACTTCCCGGCGTCGCCACCGGCTAGTCCCATCGATGGTGGCCACTCGCCGATGACCACTCCTCCACCGCCTTCCCCGTCGCTGATGCAACAGTCCAACAAGGGCGGCGTCTCGCTGGATTCCGTCGAGGCCCGACTGCCGGTGTTCAACCGCCTCAGCTCGACGATGGATGCTTTTACCAATATGATGATCTAGATCTAGCTATTAGCTATACTTTTTTATAGTGGTGATCACGAGGGGTTGGTTAGCTAGCAGCAGCAGCAGCGAGTGTCGTCGGTGTGCGTGTGTTGTGCGCGTTGTGCGTTGTGATATGTATTTTTTTTTTCCTTATACACGAATATTATATATCTTGTATAACACGTTGCTGTTTAGTTGGTTGGTCCGGTTGTTGATCGGTAGGTTGTGTGTGGGAGGAGGAGGGTTTGTGGTTGTTCTATTTTCTGTACGCACGCGCACACACACACACACATACCATTCCAGAGAGAGAGAGGGAGCTGGCTGACCACGGATATTCTTTAGAAAAAAATCACGCAAAGGCGCTTCACACGCACGCACGCACACACTCTTGGACAAATATGCATATTATTTACACATATAACTCTTTATTTTATATATAAATATACAGTTGTTAGGAGAGAGCGAGAGAAAGCGCAGTTAGATTAGGAAAACTGTGGTTCTTTTCTATTTGGAGGTTTATTTTCCGGGGAAGTTTCAACTATTTATTCAAACTGAAAATATGTGCGTGTGTGTGTGTCGGCACCTCACGAACACAAACGCATAATGTAAAAAAATCAAAACAACACTCAAGCAAACGAATATTTATTTCAACACACGTGTAAACAAAGGCACAAAATGCAAATTTAATAACGTTGGAGCAAGTGTAGCGAACGGAAATGTAACACACTTATTTAATTATTTATTTTTTATGATTATAAACTTTATTTAAACATGTGAAACGAGGATTCAACAACAACAACAAAACACCTAAGGCACGTACGGACAGACGCACACAAACATGCACACCTTCACGCGTGATAGCACGCCTTTTTCTTTGATTTGCTTATGCTCAAAAATGGACGATGATTGCAAGCGAAAAAATGGAGCTAGTTTTTTTTTCAGTGTAGTTTGTTCATTTAAGTTGGAAAAAGTGTGTTTGTGTGTACCTGTGTGTAATTTACCTACCTAATTACCGTTAAAAGAAGAGAGAAAAGGGAAAACAAAATATGTTTTAAGAAAAAGAGAGAGAGAGAGAGAGAGCGAGTGAGCAGTCCTCGTTTAGATTGATATGTATATTTTGAATGGACCGAGAAGGAAAAAACGAAGCGAGATAGATGTGTAAGAAGAAGAAGAAGAAGCTTCCAGTGAGAGACACTAGCAAAAGACGAATTTCGATTTCACAAACAGCAGAACATTTTCGATTAGCGTAAAAGACGTCAATTCTCCCCCTCGTGTTTCTATTAATTATTAACTATTATTATTATTATTATTATTATCATGCTATCTTTATTATTTTTTAATTTATTTTATTTATTTCCTCCATATGCTTTACTTTCTTATTTTATTGCGAAAAGAAAGCACGATTTGTAATGAAAATGGATTCTTTTTCTGCTCCACGAGTGTCGATGACTGTTCACGTGCTTTGACTTTTCCTTGTACAATTTTTTACCGCTGATAGCCCTTGGTCGCCAGATAGTGCCTTACCTCTGGATCTAGTTTACAAAGCGCGCGACACACAGCAGCGGTGTGCGCGTCGATATAAGTCATGTACAGGATTTTCTTTTTTTCTTTCCTAGGGATTTGCCCTACCTCTGAAAACATGCAATCAGGAATGTACATTTTAAAAATTACTTCATTACCATTTAAGACGGAATAAACATACAAAGAAAAGAAATGTGACACGTTAACAGAATGTAAGACGAAAAATCCTCTAGCTCTAAGTTATTGCCGCTTTTTTCCCCCGGGTCTACTCAGGGCCCAATTCTTCCGAAGATTCTTCCACACACAGGATTTAAGAAAACGACGTTTTTTTTCTGTCTAAAATAGTGAAACATTTTTTATTGAGAGAGCCACTGACAGCTTCGGACGCCGCTGTCTATTTGATTCGGTGGACCCCCGTCGCCCTTGGAGTTTGAAGGATAATAATCTTTTTTTTTCAGTCTCATTGTGATCATAGTATGTAATGCCTTTTTTTTTAATACGTGTTGATAAGCCTACTGCCATCTGTGTTACTAGGAGGAAAGAAGGAAAAGGGGGGTGACCGCTCAAGCGACGACGAAGACTACCTGTAATATCTATTTATGCGAAAAGACAATGGCCCAGGGCGGGGTCGAGGGGTCCAACGGCGGCGGCAACCGCAAAGCAGTGCGCTCTCGGATATTTGCTTTAATTTCCCTTGTGAGGTTAGATTGTAAGGCCAGAGACAGAGAGAAAGTTTAACAGAAGAGAATATATTTGTACAGAAGAAGGTGAAAACACTCAGCAAATCTTCCATTAGATTTAGGGTTAAAGAAAAGAAAGATTATTATGGTAACAATTTTTTTTTGCGCAACGTTTCTGTAGGTATAATGTGTAATAATGGTAAGCTAGGGTTCCCCCATCAGGATTCCTCGTCAGGCACGCGTGGAAACGCTATTCGAATCGGGTCGTCGGAAGAAAGTGTGGGGGGAGGGTTCGATTCAGCGACAATCTCTTTTTCCGTTTCCTTGTTTCGTCATATGTTTACCCATGTTTGTGATTTTGGTTTGAAGACGCATCGAAAGGTCGGAGTTTGTTGGACGTGGACACTGAACGAAATGTGCACGATGAATTGGTCCCATTCGATGCGTCTTTAAATGTCCTCTTAGCTCGCCAAGTCATGTTTGCTGTCTTAAATCTAAATCTCCGCGGTTGAAAAAACGTACACGCAAACCTGCAATAAAAGCCAAGAGTTAAGAAAGAGATCTCTCAATTTTTTCTTCTACTTATTTATTGCATTTTTTTATGTAACTTATTTAATAAATTATATACGTAAAAGTTAAGAGCCCACCAACTATCACCAGCACACCCCGTACTTGCCTTTTAGACTTTCCGCATTTCGTCGCCCCTTCCACTTACATGTTAAGAGCGCCCCAACTCAAACAAAAAACCAACACTCTTTAAACGAGCCACCACAAACAACAATCAATCAACAAGTCTTCCATGAAGTAGTTTAGTGGCAAAAAACAAGAGAGAGCATTAATAGAATGTGTAGTTAGAACAAAGCGAACCGAGAACAGGAACACGCAAAGAGAGAATGGCGAACGACTCGATTTGAATAATGCTTCCTCCCCCTTCCGCTCCCCCTCCCAATTCCCTCTACCAACCCGCGAAACTCTTATCATTCTCATTCCCCCCACTCGTCTTTCGACGACGACGACGATGATGATGACTGAGGAACTGAGCAAGCAAGCAGTAACTGATAACATACAAAAAAATGAGTCTGATGTTGAAGAAAAACACACTGATGCGAAAAAAGACGTTATTATTATACAAATAAAAAACACACATACACCCAAAACACTTGCATGCATACAATTATAGCATATATATTTTTTTTATCTGTGTCTTATCGTGTAGAACCCTATTTAATTATTTATGACCACGCGCGAAAAACTGATATTTAAACAAACGAGAAAAAAAATAATGCCAACAAATCCAGAGCTTCAACCTTCCGTTTTCTATCAGTGTACTCTTATCTTATTGTTCCCCTCCCTTCCCCATCCCCAACACTAGCTATTATTATAATTATTAAACAATTAAAAAAAACTATAATTTACTATATTGATGCAAACAAACAATGAAAATAAAAACACGCAAATCATCGAGGGGCCATCTACTATGCAATCCTGAGTTATTGGTAGTTACACTTAGAAGAAGAAAACAATCGGAGAAAAAGCTACTCTTCTTTCTTTTTTTGTTCTTTTTCCTTTGTGTATGTACATTCAAACATAATAAAAATAGAGAAGGAAACGCAAACCTTCCTTCCTTCTTACAGCATAATTATTATTATTATTTTATATACCTTTAATAAAATTATATTATATATTTGTTTTCTTATTTAAACTAAACCTAATTAAAAAAAAACCTATCGATTTTTTTTGTTTCTATAAAATATTTGCAAATAAAAAGACAGCGGCGGCGTTAGGAGTAACGTCGAAAAAGAGAATGATAGGAATGATAAATGAAGCGAAGAAAAAAAAATACAAAAAAAAATCAAAACAACTGAGTATGTAACAAGCTACCTTAAATACACACACCCACAACACGAACGCGAACATGAAAGCGCTAGTGGAGAAATTTTCAAAAAAAAAATCAAAACTGTTGTCATTTTCCCAATGTCCGAAAAAAATCCGCTTCCCGCACACGCCCGATTAAGATTCCAACTTTACTTCGATGCATTTTTGGAAAAATTCAAATGCAGTTTTTTTCTGAAAAACTGCGTCGAAAAAACTGCATTTGAATTTTTGGAAACACTGGACTGGGTAAAATTTTCCACGATAAACTTTTTGAAATGCGTGGCGATGCTGTGACACAACCCGCCCGTCCCGTTGTCGAGAAGTGTGCTTGTTGACAGCATCGCCACGCACTTTGCACACCTTTGATGTTATGTCAATTAACATAATCCTATAGACTGAGGAAAATTTTCGTCGATTTTCCTCATATTCGGGCGAGGAAAAGCCGTGGGACTGTTTACTCCGTCTATATGCGATTTTGGGTGAATAACCAGTCAATATTGGATCGCAGTCATCGGCCGTGTAAATTTAACCTTCACTCTTGGTTGAGTTGCCATGGCGATGATGTTCGATCGGAGAGGTAAGTACCTACCTATATAGCAACTCAGTAGTCCGCCTGATGTGGTCCGTCAGTTTTGGTTTCGCTTCCGTTTGCGTTTCTCCGCTGTGTGGATCGGGATGATTTCGGTCGGCTTTTTATCTTCCACCAAGGTGATGGTTTTGGAAAAAAATGGTAAGTACCAAATTGATCAAATTTTATGCTTTAAGTGGACCTTACACGGTTGCTTTTATTGACAATAATTGTATTATCAATAGGCGTGGAAAATCAATTGCATTCTTTTCATACATTCATTTGCATTCATTTGCCTCTAACTTTTTTCATCAACAACATTCCGCAAAATGATGTAAAGAGCTTTTGTAGGTTTTGTTATTAGCTACAACTTTTGCTCTTAACTCAAATCTGTATCTCTTATGCATCACGAACTAGAGTGGGCAGAACTTGTCACTGTTTTTTAGTGAATGTAAAATACATTCACTGAAAAACAGTAGTGGATTCTGTTCGCTCTGGTTCGTCATACATAAGAGATACGGATTTGACTTGTTAGCAAAAGTTGTAGCTAATAACAAAACCTACAAAAGCTCTTTACATCGTTTTGCGGAATGCTGTTGAAGAAAAAAGTTAGAGGCAAATGAATGTAAATGAAGGCACGAAATGAATGCAAATGATTTTCCATGCCTGGTCAATACATTCTATATTGACGTCAATACATCGATTTTGAAAATATTTCTGTATTCACATCATCAATATTATTGTCAATAATTCCCCTTCGCGTCAATATATTGATACGTGTGGGGTTCGCTTTAAACACGGTTGAATTTGTGCCAGCTAACGAGCAAACCCTACACGTATCAATATATTGACGCGAAGGGAGTTTATTGACAATAATATTGATAATGTGTCAAGGAACCGAAAAATTACCCAAAATTAAGTTCTTTTCACTCATCTCCCATGTTCTGTTCAATAAGCTAATTTTCAGTAAACCGCTTATAGTAGTTTTTATTTGACTACGGCAAAAATAATTACTTACTCGTGAGTATTTTCTACCCAACATTAAGTTCAATTTACTCAAATTTGAGAATATCTCATATACTCACTAGTAGCTTATTGAACGATAGTCATGAGAAAGTCGAATCTCTCGTTCCGTTTTTGACAACAACAAAAAGTGAGAGTGGGATGCAAAACTCAAAATTACCCATAATTAAGTAAAAAGAACTTAAATTAAGGGTAATTTTTTTCTGTGATACAGAATTATTGTCAATACCGATGCATTGATGTCAACATAGAGTGTATTGACAATAAGATTATTGTCAATAAAAGCAAACGTGTAGGGTCCACTTAAGGGTAAGACTCATAGATGCAGTCAGAGGGTGGCGTTGTACATTAACGTTCTGTACAAGCTGCTAATCTAACCGCAAGGCCGATTGCAGGTCACTTTTGAGCGTGCCAAGCTAATCGATGCACCTCCCGAAACCAAGGGGGGGGGGGGGGGAGGTGGCTGTCGAATACGAACAATCGTCGCCTACCTCGCATAACTGGCACTGACAAACCGAAGTAAATGACCATAGAAATTACCAAGAAATTTCTGCTCATAGCACACTACCTCCATAGAGGTAACTCTAAGACCACTGGGTCCCGAAGAAAATCATTATTATTTTTGGCTCACTCAGTACCAGAACAACGGTCCCAAGCAGTCCCAAGCTATTTCACTCACCCCTGCATGTTCTGCATGAATCCACATACCCCTGATGTTATCTGTCAAACTTTCATAGCGAATCAAAACAAACATAGTGTAGTACTAGAATTTCAACTAAAATGGGATACGTTAATCGTTTGCTTGGGACCAATAGGCTACTAAAGTGGTGAGCCAATTTAAAATCGTTACTTTCGTATTGATTGTTGCTACCTCCGTGTTCGCGGAAAACATTTATCTACACCATGAACACGAGTGCAAAATGTATGGATTGGTTCGTGTCTGATCTATTCTGGACAAGTAATTTTTATCTAGATGAAAAGTTTTTATGGTTTTGACAGATGGTATCGCTGCACATTTGTTTTTATTTTCCTTGATTTGTTTTCCGTCGATCTTGTTTTTCGTACTGAGCACCAATGCTACCGACGCCAGGGAGGCAGCTCCCACGCCTGGACCATACCTATCGATTCATCAACTCATGAACCGGGACTAACGGCTTTATTTCCCTCCCCAAGGAAGGCGTGATCAGAGATGCTATCACCGACAAACCGACATGAAACTTAAACTTAATTCTTGATCGAGAATCCATAACGGCCCATTCAAATATGCAGCGATCCCATCTGTCAAAACCATAAAAATAGATAAAAATAATTTGTCCGTAATAGATTAGACACGAACAAACTCATAAATTTTGTACGCGTGTTCGAGGCTAGGATAAACATTTTCCACTCACTTGCTATAAAAACATGATTTTCTGAATTTTGAAATCATTAGATGTTATAATGATATTTTGTACTTGTTAGATACAAGAAGAGGTTGAAAGGCAAGTGTTTGACACATGAAACCTGTCAAATTTGCTTTCAGATAGTCACAATCAGCGATTTTACGACTCGCGAGCGCTCACTCTGAGTGAACGCTCACGAATCATAAGATCGCTGATTGTAACACTCTGGTAGCGAAATTGACAGATTTTATTAGTCAAACACTTGCCTTTCAACCTCTTCTTGTATCTAACAAGTACAAAATATCATTATAACATCTAATGATGTTACACTCGACTTCGTATGCTTTTTCTGCTGGAGAGATTCGAGGCAAGGGTGTGCGTCGTTCTACCATAGAGGTAACTCTAAGACTAGTAGGTCCCGAAGAAAATCATTATTATTTTTGGCTCACTCAGTACCAGAACAACGGTCCCAAGCAGTCCCAAGCTATTTCACTCACCCCTGCATGTTCTGCATGAATCCACACACCCCTGATGTTATCTGTCAAACTTTCATAGCGAATCAAAACAAACATAGTGTAGTAATAGAATTTCAACTAGAATAGGGTACGTTAATCGTTTGCTTGGGACCAATAGGCTACTAAAGTGGTGAGCCAATTTAAAATCGTTAGTTTCGTATTGATTGTTGGTTCTACCATGTTATACATGAAAATCAAGGCAAATGCTTGCTTGTGTAGGTGAAAGCACAGACAGAACACGAAATAAAAAAGGCATAAAAGCATTACATCGCCTGCAAGGTCAACTTCAAACATTCGCTGCGATGTTCATGAACAGAGGATGATAGGAAATGGAACTAACATTCATTGTAATAGATTTTTGGTTTGCGTGCAATAATGACTACAAAGTAAGCATTTTCGAGGGACACTGGGACTACCCATTAAATGAGTAAAAAAATTACCCATTTATGAGTATTTGATACTCACAAATGAAAACTTACTATACCCAACCGAGCGATGTAAGATTCGCTTACAATTATGTGGGATTCATCATCAGAGGATTTTAGTGGAGACCGCATGAACCGAGGATGCGATATACCTAGCTGCGGTCCAATGCAAGAAAATTGGAGACCGAAAAATGTAGAGTGTATTAGTGAGGTAAATTAGTTATGTCAAAAAAATAGGAATCTGATTGCCGACTGGACTCGAACCAAGAACGCTTCGATTATCAGACCTGTGCTTTCTCCACTGCTCTCTACATGCTCCTGAATATGGATAGCCTAATAGCAAACATGAAGCGCTCATTTTCTCGCATACTCGACTTCGTATGCTTTTTCTGCTGGAGAGATTCGAGGCAAGTGTGTGCGTCGTTCTACAATGTTCTACAATGTGCGTCGTTCTACAAGCTTACTGGTATAGTCGAAAGCGTAGATGGAACACGAAATGAAAAAGACAAAAAACCATTACATCGCCTGTAAGGTCAACTTCTAACATTCGCTGCGATGTTCATGAACAGAGGATGATAGGAAACGGAACTAACATTCATTGTAATAGATTTTTGGTTTGCGTGTAGTCTTAGAGTTACCTCTATGGTTATAAGTGGTTAAAACCTGACCACTTTTCGTAACGCGGTCGATTTTGTTTTTTTTTTTAATTGCACCCCCAATATGTTGCCGAAAGACGTAATCCTCCGTCAAAAATCTCAGTAAGATAGTTTTCGAGGTGCAGCTAAAAAATGAAAATTCAATTTGAAAAA